CAACCCTAGTTAAAAAATTTATAATAGAATTCAACTTATCCTACTTAATTACATCCTATCTTCTCTCTAAAATGTTTAAATCCATAAGTGCCAGACAAGAACATAAAAGAAACTTATTTTGAAATTGTTTTTAGCTTGTTTATTTTTTGTCTTGCTCTTCTGAGAGATGACTACCACAGAAATAAAGCAAGCACAATCAAAGTATGTTCCTCTTTTTGCTTTTATGTCAAAGACCAAAGTAAACATAGGGATGAATTTTCAGCTATGTGGAAGAGGAGATGTCAGACTCTATTCTAGCTACTGATTTAAAATCAACAAAAAAATGCAATTAATTTTTGATTGAGAGAGATACAAGGTATCTCTTACAGGAATATTAAGTGATTGTGAACATCACAAGGTAGAAGCAAGAGCACAGGCATAAACTGGCTGGAAATACTCTAATGCAAACAAAGTGTGGGTTAGACCTCTATTGTCCTACAAGATACTGTCCTGTGAGATACACCTTTAGTATCCGGCATCCCAGGAAACAGAGTCCCCTGGGTAGAGTAGCCCGGCCTCCAAAAAGTCTTTTACCAAGTTACAAAAGTTATTCACTTGTGAATGACTAGAGGTCAAATCTTCTTCCAGAACTACGGGAAAACTAATAACAATTGCTTACCTTTTGAAAATGAGGTCTGAAAAGAATCAACACCTAAATAACATTTGCTAAATTATGACTCAACTCCTAACTGCCATGTTAGAGGCCCTACATGCAAATTAACCTCTGATATTACAGAACCGACTTCCAGTTCATTAGAAGATGATGTTTAATTTGTAAGACTTTTGTTTTAAAGGAAGTAGCAGTATGCAAATGTGATTAGTCTCAATATATGAATTTGAGGTAAACAGACAAAAGTAAAATATCAGAACTCAAACTTGTATTTTTACTTGGACAGTAGATGATTAAAGCAAAAAATTATAATGCAAAACAGTTCATGGTTAAATAAAATCTATGAGAATAGTACTCAAAATATACTATGAAAGAAACAAAAACGTTCTAGATTATTTTTCAAAATAATAGTCTTTCTAGAATATTGCAGAAATATTAAATGGATGAGACTAACTGAAGACTCCATGCACGTTTACATTACTAAATAGCTTTCATATTAATGGAATTGTGACATTTGCTTCTATTATACACAAAAATTACATCTACCAGCGTACATTTCTATGCATTTTTTCTTCTGGAACAAAACAAAAATCAATGCATACCTTTTCCCAGTGAACAATTTCCCAAGCACCATTTCTCAAAACTGGAAAGAGAAAAGGTGACATCTTTAACAACATTTTTTTATTAAATACGAAAAGGCTATTTCTAATGACCATTTTTAATGAATAACTTCAAATAAAATAACTAGTAGCGATTCTTACAAGTTTTAAAATTATGATAGCGAGAATATGCAGAATTATACAAAGAACAGAAACGACCAATGCACATTCAGCTCCCATGATTACAGATCACTGACAGAAGACGATCTCTTTGGTGTTACCAAGGGCTTTCTTCTGTATACACCTCCAAATTTTCTATATTTGGTTTACTGAAGAAAAGTGCAAGAGGCTACTGTTCAGTTACGATAGCGAGAGGTATTTCTCAGTTCCACCACTGCTTCACAGCGGTAAACTTTATTCAGCGCACTGTCCCCCTGCTCGGTGCCTGTGGCATGATACTGAACATGCCAACAGACACCAACAAATAAAAGACGACAAGAGAATGACGTGAGGTAGATAGCACAGCGCTCAGTACTTAAGAAAAGCAATACAGCAACGACTGTCCACAAATTATCCAGACAGTGAATTCCACAAGGGCAAAGCTCGTATTTGCTATAACACTGTACTGCCTGGAGATAGCACAGTACCAGGCACAAAGCAGCTACTCAGTAAATATTTGCAATAATTTACAGGTGCAAAACCACTAGATTTAGTTTCTTTTGATGTTGGAAAAGAGGCATCGCTATGATAATAATCCCCCAGATGTTCAATAGCAAATCTAATATTAATTACTAAGAGGTCTAAAACCAGTATTATAAATTATTTCGATCTAAATATTATCTTTTTGTGTTCTAAAATTCCCCGAACACAGGAGTTGTAGCTTATTCGTTTCGTTATTTCCTGCATCTTGCAGTGATCCTGGCAGACGGGCCATCCAAATGCTTGCAACACGAATGAATGAATACAAGAATGAATATCTTACATGCATTGTGGTGTACCAATTTCATTAATTTGAAAAATAATAATTCCAAGTTGAAGAGTTAAAACTAAAGGATTTCCAGAACAACATCTCCATGCGAATAAGTTACAGTTCCAATTTTTACAGTACTCAGTTAGGGGACAAGGATTTGAACCACAAGGCATCTAAAATTGGTCACTGTATCCAAATACACAAAACCCTAATGCCTGTAGAGTTCACCCAAACTGATCTCAGGAGTAAATCTCCTCCTTGACGTTGCTCATAGAGTAGGACGGGGGTGAAGCAATGTGACTTAGAGTAAAAAAAAGCTGCTGGGGAAAAAAAAAAAAAAGCCACAGGCGCTGTTTCTGCCAGGGTCCAACAGCATTATCGTCAAAATCGGTTGTTATGAAAAATAGAAAATAAATAAGAGCTCTCTCCCCTTTAGTCACTAACCCAGTGGCTACAATATAATAAGCACTCGACAAAGAGAGCTGACAAAGTACTGTTCAAATCGACCACACCCAAGAGTAGCTGAAACTGGATGACTGGGTTGCAAGTTTGCATGAATTTAAATTAGAAAACTTGTTCAATACTATCTAGAGCCCTATACTGCCATTTCCTTCTGATTCTATCTTGTATTAGTAAACACTCTCCCAATTGCAATACTTATTTTTTCAATGTCCAATAGTTCTAAAATCAAGAGACTTGGCATGAAAATGAAGACTTCAGGTTAGACAGGATAAGTTAAGTTCTACAGGTCCGCTGCACGGCACGGTGAGTATGGTTAATAATAATACGTTGCATGCTTAAAAATTACCGAGAGAGTAGATCCTAGTAGTCCCGCATCTACTCCCCAGTCAAGAGCAACGAAAATCTGTTCTTGTAAATGCTGCGTTTAGTGGGTATCTCCGCCCTGGTCCTCTTTACTTTGGCAGCATTTGGTGTTTGACGGGGTTTCCCTCCGAGCCGAGGCCAGCTGAACCTGTTCACGGTGCGTTTTCATTTGCTTTCTAATCGACAGCACCTTAACCCCCCCCATTAACAGTAACATCCGTCTCTCTCCGTGCCTCCCCCGCCACCTTCCCAGACCGCTGTCGAATTCTTCTTTCGAACGCACAACTGGGAATTTATCCACACCCTTCATAATTGCCTCCAAGTTTCTCACCCTGGTTTTCAAAAGCCTCCTACAAATGACGCTAACTTGCCTTCCTGCCCCTGCTCCCATCGTTCCCGACATCATTCTAGGCTGTGCCCGAAACGGACCATTTGCCGTTCCCAGGATGTACCTCACGTCTCCCCACTTCCACGGTGATGCTCGTGTCACCTTTCACCCGTACGACCTTTCACCCGGCCACACGCAGCAGCTACCACCCCGGCCTCTCTGCTCACCAAAATTCCACTCTAGCTTCCAGAACCCTCCAAATTCACTCTGAACCGCCACTTCTCTCATCTGGCCCTTATTAGTTTTTTCACCTTGTATCCGTCTGCCTCTTATCTTCCCTACCAGGTTATAATTTCCTGCAGGGCAAGAACGAAGATTTGTTTCTCTCTGCATTTTCCGCACAGGGTCTCGCACAACAAAGATGTTCAATAAAGACTCAGTGAAGTGAAATAATGACTGTTCTAACTTTGAATCACACCCATTTTTTTCCCCAGGAAATATGAAGATAGAATTTATTGGGGTTTGGCAAAATCAGAAGGGAGGAAAATGCCCATGAAAGCAGAAGACCTGGTTTAAATTCAAAAATAAAAGACTCAAAGAGTAAGGCACACACGCAAAGGAAAGGAAGCCCAGAGCAAAGTCACGAAGCCAACCCTGATATCAGTCCTCGCTCACTTTAACCAGGTTTCTAAATTTCCTCAATGGCTTTTGCTCCTTTGTGTGCAACCTTTGTTCACAGGTCAAATGGAAGAAAGTCTGGGGCTGTCTTTCCCTCCCAAATACCCCCTCCGTCCAGAGCTACTGCTGAAGACATCTAACCAGTTCCATTTATACAACACTAAGGTCTTTGTGATAATTTGAAAATATTAACAACCTTACAGATGTCTGAAATTACTTAGGCTACATAATATGCTCAAGTTTTAAGCCCTACAATCACGGGAACAACACTTCCTGAGAACTGTTTAAGCTGATGTACACGTGGCAGAGTATGTTCAGGCCCACTGGCTGGGTCAGACGTGCGGGGACTTCCAGGGAGAGGAAAAAGGCAGCAAAGTGGAGCTATTTTGAGTCCTTTAGCAAAATACATTCCTTTGAGCTGAAATGCACTGAGCCAGAGGGACTCAGCCCTGTTCGGTCATTTCAGGCTTAACAATCTGAAACACATAAAATCCACACCAACTCAACACCTTTGTCACAAAGGACTTTCAAGGTGAAACGGTTTCCAGCAGGAGACAAGCAACCACGTGCCCTGCGGGAAAGTAGCCACGTCAGCGGCCATCGGCTCAACGCCACTCCAGAAAAGCCGATTGAGCTCTGCAGAAGGAAAATACCGGTGACTATGGGTAGATTGATTATTTTTAGCTATGTGCCTAGTTGAAAAGAATTTCATGTTGTTCTTTCTAAATAATTAAATGAAAACAGAACGAAACTGCTTTATTAAAGACTTATTCTAATGCTATCGTAATAATATAATGAAATATTAATACAATATTAAATAATGTAACTATAGCATCAAACCGAGGGATCGACAGGCCGCCAGAGATCACAGCTGTATCTCACACACATTCCCACCTGTGGAATGTACACACGGCATTCACGGAATACACCTGAACACGGGTTTTGAAAAAATGCAAATCTACTCATTAGGAGAAATTTTTTTTTTTTTTTTTTTTTTTTTGAGACAGAGTCTCACTCTGTTGCCCGGGCTAGAGTGCCGTGGCATCATCCTAGCTCACAGCAACCTGAAACTCCTGGGCTCAAGAGATCCTCCTGCCTCAGCCTCCCGCGTAGCTGGGACTACAGGCATGTGCCACCATGCCCGGCTAATTTTTTCTACATATTTTTAGTTGTCCAATTAATTTATTTCTAATTTTAGTAGAGACGGGGTCTCGCTCTTGCTCAGGCTGGTTTCGAACTCCTGAGCTCAAACAATCCGCCCACCTCGGCCTCCCAGAGAGCTAGGATTACAGGCGTGAGCCACCGCGCCCGGCCCATTAGGAGAAATTTTAAAAAGTTTCCCAAATACCTATCTTAGCCTGCACCTGAACTCCATCCTTTCTCAGGCCTCCCTGTTGTGATTTTAGATGAAACCATTATTCCACTTGCAACACTGGCATGCTAGCCATGACGGTGCTTCATGCAAAATGAAAGAATATTTTTTAACAACTTAAAAAAAGATCTAGCTCAGCCACAATAAATCCATATGGGGACTGAGTTCAATTTATAAATTACAACAATTATGAATTCATACTTTACAAATTCCTGCAGAGATACATTTGGCAAAACAACTCAGTTCGGGGAAGGCAACAAGAGCTGGCCTCCAGCGTGTGTGTAGACACGTAGAGTATGTCACATGCCGAGTTCATGTATTGAGGGAAGAAATCAGAGAAAATGCAGGTGAGTTCAGATGCAAGGAAACGGGTGTTCTGAACAGGGCAGTGCTCTGGGGCTTGGCGTGGTGGAGGCGGGGAGCGGACGTAGTCTGTGTTCACAGAAGGCAAAGCCAGGGTGAAGCAATGATAGCATCTTCGACAGAGGGTAAAGAATGACAAGAACTTCCGCCACGTTAGTATTTTATCGGCACCTGCGAGACGGTCTGGGACGCGGTGTTATGAAAATACCGCTTTTCAGCTCATTCGCACTCCAGATAACGAATTCTCAGGAAGGCTCCTTCCATTTCTAGTCTCCCTTCTCCCTCCGTTACCTACGCCCATGTCTTTACCTAGAGAGAGGTTCATTCTCCCATTCGCGGGCCACGCACACGCGGAGCGCCTGCCGCGAAAGGACCCTGGGCTGGGGGATGGTGGGGACACAAAGACAAGTCAGAGCTTTGACCTGCCCTCTGCAGAGTCCCTCTCTAGTACGCACAGACCAGCACGCAACAAACATACCAAAGAGAAGCAGTCACAATTCATAAAACT